ATTAAAGTCTGAGAATCATTGCTTTATTGTAGCATCAAATATTCAGAGACAGTTTTGTCCGAAAACACAGATAATACAAAACACTTCAGTTCAGTGGTCCTGTGAGATGAGCAGCAATTCTAAAATAGGGAAATCTAACTCATGTTTAAGAAGGAAACAATATGATGAGCTCAAACTTACCATCAGTTACCATGAGAGCAGCCTGAGCTTGTTTATCAAGGTGAGGTTCTTTTCCCTCATCCACCCCGCTACCCACCTTAAGAAATGAGACTAAAACTGTAGGACACCTAGGGTCACTCTCCTCCACTGACCAACACTGTGAGTTTTGGGGTTTTTTTAATAGTTACTGCAACAATTGGTCCTCCAAATCTTTAGAGCCACTTGGTCTTTCATGGGTTCAAAATAAATTATCTAACTCTTACAGATAATCAGCATCTGCAATTTCTAATGTAAAATATAACTTTTCTAACATCTTCATTGAATTTTGCTTTTTCAGCTCATTTTAATACCTAACTCTAAGCTTCAATGACAACCCATCCTACCCTTTACCTCATTTAACTTGTTTTAATTTAACATCATATATGATAGAGCTCTGCATTCTTCTCACATTTTTTTTTTCCTGTCTGACAGGGCCATCACTCTTAAAAAATATGAAGATAACACTCAAATGGATTCTACATCCTTTATTTCTTTGTCTGGCTCAGTTTCTTCATCAGAAAAATGGGATAACAGTATCTATCTTATAGAGTTGTTATCAGGATTAACTATTTGGTAGTGCCTGCCCAATGTTCCTGGCAACTATTACTTTTGTTGCTGTTTCCTCCTGGAAGCTAGTGTTTTAATCACTAAAACTAAATGAAAATAAATTTTAAATAGAACTGAGATGCGTTTAAAGTATACTGTCACCAAGTGGGAAAACAGAGTTGACATAGCAGGGCAGTTTATGATAATAACTAATCACAATAAGTTGAGACTTACACTTGATAAATCTGCTTATTTATTACTATATGATCCTATATGATACTATAAAAGTAAAGTGAATACTTTTAATGGCTAGGTGAAATAAGTCAGAGAAAGACATACATTGTATGATTTCACTCATGTGGAATTTAAGAAACAAAACAGATGAGCACAGGGGAAAGGAGGGAAAAATAAAATAAGAGCAAATCAGGGAGGTAGACAAACCATAAGAGACTCTTAACTATAGGAAACAAACTAAGGGTTGCTGGAGGGGAGGGGGGCTGGGGAATGGGGTAACTGGATGATGGGCATTAAGGCGGGCACTTGATGTAATGAGCACTGGGTGTTATATGCAACTGATGAATCATTAAACTCTACCTCAAACTGATAATACACTATGTTAATTGATTTTAAATAAAAAATAAATAAATAAATAAAGGCTGCATAGTATAGACTTATGGTCATGCTCCTAAACAAGAGCTGTAAGGTCCAAAAATTTTTCTTGAATAAGTCACAATTTACTCTTTAGGCAGAAACAAGAATTGAATTATAAGATGTTTTCTTTGTAATTGTTATTAACTAAAGCAATGGTGTAATAAGCTCCTTAATGTGTCTAACTCCCAATTATGGTTTTCTTGGGGGGAACTATATAAAGTTGGAGTCAGAAAACAAAAGCAGCCACCTAGGAGAGGAGTAAAGGCATTAGTAACACTAACAGTACAATAAGTGGTTTGTTTATAAAAAATCAAAAACATTTGACCAAAATTTTATTTAATTCATTCTTAATATGTCAACAGCAAAGCTATTTTATCAACATCATTGCTGAACCCAAAATGGGGCAAGATCACCACAACAAACGGGGTCCTGGAGTGCAGCCAATTTACAAGCGTGGATGTGTCTGTACAAGAAATACTGCAATAGCACACAGGACATTTTAAAGAGTTGAAGGAAGGGTGAGAGACGATAGGAAACTTAAGCAGCTGTTATAAAAATCTGAAATAAAGGTAGTCACAAGCAGAAAGGGCAAAAGAAATCTTTCAAACAGACTGACAGATACTCATTCTGAAACACATAAATACAAAAAAAAAAAAAAAGAATGAAAAATCCTATAGCCAAATCCACTGGGTAGGCAGCTGCAAAAAAGGTTCTCATTTTAAGCAAAGGCTAACTAGAAATAACGCACCATCTACTTTTCACTTGTATATACACATGTTGCCTCTCAAAGGAGTCGATCTAGAAGCTATACTTATTTTAAAAATGGTGATCAAATTATTGCTGGAGCACTTATTTCCTTGACTGCCTTTAGAACTCTGTAAGCATAACTTCATAGACCCACAATATTTTTACACCCAAATGGTATTTTCTAGCTTTACCACCCACCATTTCCACTTGTGTTCTAAATGAAAAAGAGCTCTAAAATTGAGAACTTTTGGGATTACCTAATCAGCCTCATTTACAAACAAGAAAATATAGGCCCAAAGAGATTAAGTAAATGTACAAATTCTTTCAGCAAGTTAATGACAGGACGTACCTGCCCACCTGACTGTGGTCATAACTGGGACATCACAAGGCCTAACTTGTGTCAGAGATCTGGGGGCACCATAAATATTAAACATGAGTTGATAAGGCAGCTTCATCAGAAGAGGACTGTTAAAACTGCAACTCTGAAGGAGAGTGTCAGATACAGCAGCCTGCTCAGTAAATGTTTCTGAATGAATGAATCCGATGTGTATGTTTGAGCTCATTAAAATACTGATTATATTCCTTCCTGGTTAAGTTACACCACGTATTTCTGAATTCTCCATCTATCTAGAGGCTGGTCACCTATCATGTTTTCAATTAGGCAACTAAAGACTCATTTTTAGAAATCCTTTATTCAAACACTTTAAAGGTTTAGTCCTCATCCTTGGTCCCACCTTTAGAATTCTGCATCTGGTTAACACTTCAAAGCAGAAATATAGTAATACCCCCTTTTTCATTTTTTAATTCCATAAACAGGAATTCTAAAGACATATGTAGTGAGGAAAAATTATTTAAAGGGGCCATGCTAAAATTAAGATTTAAATATTCAAGTTTCTTCAAAGTTTAAATTACACACCTACACACACAGGTCAACAGATGTCTCCACTGTTTCACTGCTTTAAAATGAATGGCAGAATGTGGGGTTATGGATAGATCTTACACTCTGTGAGCTTTTCTCTATATTCTAAACTCTTTAATGCTCATAAGTTGACTCTCATAACACCAAAATGCACATTAGAACAACTAACAAAAATAAAATATAAATGACTAGGAGAGGTCTGCCACTTACTAACTTAGAGGAGGCCAATGACACTGGAGAAGTTATCGTATGCAACACCTCTTCAGCGAACGCTTTTTTAAATGCCGTAAGATAACAGTATCGTGCCTTTATTTAGAACCTTTATTTTAGAATACCGTGTTCATTTAGAACACAAGTGGAAATGGTGGGTGGTAAAGCTAGAAAGATTTTTAGGATGGAAAAAAAAAAAACTAACACAAGAGTGGGTATAGTGATCACTGAGGAAAAAGAAAGTCTCTAAGTTCTGCCATCTCAAGACCACACGCAGCCTTTCAAAGTACATGGCACAAAAATCAACCGAGGTTCCAGTGTAAATTAAGCATTTTCTTTTCCAAAGTAATATTAAGTGCTGAAGTGAATCCTAACAGTTGACAAATACCAAATAAAAACAGTGACCCAAACCAAAACACCAAACCCGGCACGGCGTTCTTAATTACCTCAAAGACGAAAGACACCGACATCATAATTGGTTCAACATTCACCTCCCAATGGGAGGGAAGAAAGAATGGATCAGACCGTCCAAATACTTGGCGGGGTAAAGAAAGTTGAGTCTAGGTGAAGAAAGCAGGAAGAGCAGAGCAGGAAAAGCTACCACGCAGACTGCAGACAGTCTTCCGTCCCCAGAGCAGAGCGAGTCCTTCCCTCCTCACCGCCTCCCTGCCTCCCGCTCAGGCACACCTGCCAACGTCCGGCCTCGCGACCCCCGCCCACCCAGTTCACGTCCGGCGCCAGCCAGGGCCGCGCACTCCCACCCCGAGCCCTGACCGCCGCCGCACCTCCCCCCACCCCCCGCCCCAGCCCTCCGCCCGGGTCGGCCGCGCGGGAGGCGAAGGAAGGCTGGGCTCACCAGGTCCCTCCGGGCTGGACGGCGCCGGGGGCCGGTGGGGCGGGGATCCGCACCCGGGGTCCCCCTGGGCGGGCTCCCTCAGGTAATCCTCGAAGCGCACCTGCCGGGCTTCGCCGCCACCCCCGAAGCCCCACAGGCGGTTGGCAGTGCCCCGCAGAAGGCGCCCGCTCTTCCCGGTGAATGTGGTCAGGTAGTCCATGCTGCCGCAGGGCAGGGGCCCGGGAGGCCGACGGCTTCCACGGCGGCGGCAGCCTCTGGGTGCGCGCCCGCCCGCCCCTGCGACCCGACCCGGGGGCGGTGGCTCCGCGCGCCTCACAGGAGGCGGGGAGGGGAGGGGGCTTCCCTAGCTTGGCCCGAGGGCGGACCATCAGGAAACTATGCATCGGGGGGAGCAGAAGCTGGCAAAAGTTTTTGAAGTTATTCTTGCTTCCAGACGCCAAGTCAGGCAAAACTTAGCTTGTGAAGTAGGTGCTTTCTCCCTGGAACAGATGCAGGGACGAAAAGCTGGCGGTTTTTAAGCAAGCCGGAACCGTCCTATCTGCTCCTCCACTCCCCCCGGTCCGGCTCCAATGGAGCAGGCCTGCCCCGCCCCGCCCCGCCCCGTCCGGACCCGACCGGACTTTCAGGACTGCTGGGGAAAGCGGGGGAGGCTGAGCCTTGGGGCCCTAGGGCTGAGCCAGGGATAAAAGTGGCCCAGGGGACTCTCTGCTGGAGTTAGGTAGAGTTTGGGGGCCCAGGAGGGCAGTGTTAAAAAAGTTTGTTTGTGTGTGTGTGTGTGTGTGTGTGTCGGGGAGGGGCACAATTTACTTCAGACTTTTGCAGCTTGTAATTTTGGGGGGCTGTGTGGGGGTAGGGAGGAAGGAGGAAAGGTTATTTTAAAGCAAAACTTAGTAGTTAGAACCAACTTAGATAAAATGCTTCTTACGAAGCATTATGAGACCATACTCGAAGAATAAAGCATTAATAGTCACATTTTAAGTTCGTTGTGGCATTATGAACTGTTAAGAGTGACAGTTCCATGAATTTGGTCCTATAAAGCAAGGTAATTAAGGGCTTTAGTGTGCAACCTTATTCTTTAGGCAAAGAAGAATCAATGACTTTTGACAGACATTTACTAAGATCTGGTTATTCTCTTCCTTTCACATCTGTTTATATCACTTTTAGTTTTCCGCACGCGTTAAATAAATAAACCGTCTTTCTTGGAATTACCAGTTTATTAATGTATGTGAAGAAAAGGTTTGAATTACTTAAGAGTTGAAGATTTAGTCAAACCAAATAATGGAGTCCAGAAAATCCTTAAGAAACTTAAGCTTTTTGCCAAACCATAAAGATTACCCCACTTCCCTTTTTCTAACTGATCTTTTTCCCACCATCACCTTTCAGCTTAAATTCGTACTAGAAAAACTTCACCATTTTAACAATACCGTCACCTTTATACCTGGTTAAAAATACAGAATGTTTGGGCTGTACCCCCAGAGTGTAACTCAGTGTTTGTGAGAAAGGACCCAGGAATCTACATAACCAGCAATCATCCATGTGTTCAGATATTCTGGACCTCCTACCGGACCCATCTGGTAGAATGGTAGGTGGCTCCTCGTTTTCCTGAGATTTCTTTTTGATAAGGAATTATTACTACCCTTAGCACCACTTCTAAAATCTCACAGGCTCAGTAAGCTTAAAAATCAAGTTGGAATGACTTAAGTCTAGGCCTGATTAACTAAATTGAAATTTTTTTTCTAAAATATGTTTTAAATTTACATCTTGAAATTTATCTGTTTATGATAATCATATCCAAAATAGTGTCTGAGTTTTATACGCTTGATTAAATCTGCACTTTTACATTCAACCTTAGCAGGAAACTGTACTCTATCAGTTCAAATACAGGTTTATAGGCAGTTAGCCCATCAGTTTTTTTTCTCCTTCTGTTTCATAGAAAGCTAGAGCTGCTGGAGAACAATGTATAACCTTGATGATTAAGTGCTTTACAAATTTTGATTTAAACTCAAGTAAGCCCTTAATGTCTCCAAAATCCTTCTATTCATATAATCAATCAGCTTTCTTTTTTATTCTTCACATTTGTTGTCTGAACCATCACTATTCTCCTGAAGTTACTAAATTCATCACTCCAATATGTTACTTTGCCTTCTGCATGAAAAGTCAGGCCATCAAATATGAACACTCTCACTTTTCTTCCCTTTTTCTCTTCAGTCTACAAAAGCTCATCTCCTTTACTTTGCCTCAGAAGTAACTTCTGTCCATGCCATTCCCTCTCCAAATTAACTTTTTAAAAAAATTTATTTATGAGATACAGAGAGCGTGTGAGCTCACAAACGGGAGTGGGGGGGAATCTGAGGGGGACAGGGTCGGGGGGACAGGGAGGGGCAGAGGAACAAGCAGATTCCCCGCTCTTGCTGAGCTGGGGCTCTATCCCAGAACCCTGAGATCATGACGCTGACCCTAGCCGAAGGCAGACGCTTAACCAACTGAGCCACCCAGGCACCCCTCCAAATTAACCCTTGATCTTAGTCTGGTTTATATTGTCTTTGACTTGTCAATGTTATTAACTTCTCTCTTGTATTATTTTCTCTGTCTTTACTCCAGATCCTTCCCCTTTTCCTACCTATATCATTCACATAAATCCTTTCCATCCTTAAAAAAAAGTTTCCTTATACCATGCCTGCCTCCTCCAGCAACCTTTGCCTCATTTTAAAATATGTTTATTGGGGCCCCTGGGTGGCTAAGTCAGTTGAGCCTCTGCCTTTGGCTAGGGTCATGATCCCAGGACCCCAGGATCGAGCCCTGCATTGGGCTCCCTGCTCGGTGGGGAGCCTGCTTCTCCCTCTCCCCACCCCCCTGCTTGTGCCCTCTCTCCCTCTCAAAGAAATAAATAAAAGCCTTAAAAAAATAAAATACATTTATTGACATATGATTTACAAGCCATATAATGCACCTGTTAAAGGTATACAATTCAATGGATATTGTATATTTACAGTTATTAAACTGTCACCAAAAATCTAATTTTTCAACATTTCTATCACCCCCAAAGGAAACCTCTTACCTATTTGCAGTCACTCCCCATGCCCACCCCCAGGAGTTGGTGACCACTAATCTACCATGTGTCTTTATGGATTTGCCTTTTATAGATATTTCATAATATGGAATTCTATAATATCTGGTGTTTGGTATCTGACTTCTTTCACTTAGCATAATGTTTCTGAGGCTTATTCATGGTATAGCATTTATTAGTATTTTATTCCTTTCTATTGAAAATAATATGACCCTGTATGGATATATCACATTTTATTTATCCATCATTATCCACGCTGGGCATTTGGATTGTTCTCATTTTTGGCTATTATGAAGAATGTTGGTATGAACATCTGTGTATAAATTTTTAATGGACACATGTTTTCATTTCCCTATATGTATAATAGTGTAAGCTTAAGGTATATAATGTGATGATTTGATACAATGCAAAATGATTACCACAATAAGGTTAGTTAACACCTCCATCAATGCACACGTTACTTTTTTTGTGTGGTGAGAACATTTCAGATTTACTCTCTTAGTAATATTCAAGCAAATAATGGTGACTGTAGTAAACAGTCACCATGCTATACACTGGAGCCTCAGAACTTATCTTAAAATCAGAAGTTTGTACCATCTCACCATTAATTCCAACCACCATCCCCTGGCAACCACTATTCTAATCTGTTTCTATGAGTTCACCTTTTTTAGATTCCACATGTGAGTGAGATCATACAGTATTTGCCTTTCTTTGACTTTTGTTTCACTTAGCATAGTGCCCTCAATGTTCATCCATGTTGTTGCAAATGACAGGATTTCCTTCTTTTTTAATGGCTGAGTAGTATTCCCGTGTGTGTGTGTGTATGTGTGTGTGTGTGTGTGTGTGTATCACATTCTTCTTTAGCCATTCATCCAGTGATGGATATTCAGGTTGTTTCCATGTCTTGGCTATTGTGCATAATGTTGCAGTGAACATGGAAGTGTAAATATCTCTTCAAGATAGTGATTTCATTTCCTTCAGATATATACCCAGAAGTGAAACTGCTAGATCATATGGTAGTTCTAGATTTATTTTCTTGAGGACCCTCCATACTGTTTTCCATAGTAGCTATACTAATTTATATTCCTACCGGTAGTGCAGGGGGCTCCCTTTTGTCCACGTGCTTACCAACACTTGCTATCTCTTCTTGTTTTGATGGATAGTTATTTTAACGGGTGTGAGCTGATTTCTCATTGTGCTTTTGATTTGCATTTTTCTGATGATTAGTGATATTGAACATTTTTTCATGTACCTGTTGGCCATCTGTATGTCTTCTTTAGAAGAGTGTCTGTTGAGGTCTTCCACCCATTTTTTTCATTGGATTGTTTGTGTTTTTGCTATTGAATTTTCAGTTCCTTATATATTTTGGATATTAACCCCTTATCAGATAAATGGTTTGCAAAGGTTTTCTCCCATTCTTTAGGTTGGGTTTTCATTTTATTGATGGTTTCCTTAGCTGTACAGAAGCTTTTTAGTTTGATGTAGTCCTACTGGTTTATTTTTGCTTTCGTTGCTTGCCCTTTTGGTATCATATCCAAAAATCATTGCTAAGACCAATGTCAAGGAGCTTTTGTCCATGTGTTTTCTTCTGGGAGTTTTATAGTTTCAGGTTTCACATTTGCATCTTTAATCCATTTCGTGTTAATTTTTGTGTATGATGTAAGTTAGAAATCCAATTTCATTGTTTTGTATGTGAATATCCAGTTTCCCCAAGACTATTAAAGAGACTGTCCTTTTCCCAGTGAGTATTCTTGACTCCCTTCTCAAATATTAGTTGACAGTATATGGATGGTTTATTTCTGGGCTCTTGATTCTGTTCCTCTGGTGTATGTGTCTGTTTTTATGGCAGCACTATACTCTTCTGATTACTACAGCTTTGTAATATAATTTATTTTTTTTTAATTTTTATTTATTTATTTATTTGACAGAGAGAGACAGCAAGAGAGGGAACACAAGGAGGGGGAGTGGGGAGGGAGAAGCAGGCTTCCCGCCGAGCAGAGAGCCCAATGCGGGGC